TACCCTGTCAAGAGACTCTGATGTGGACTGTCTTTAAGTGGAACACAAAACCAGCCACAGGGATGATTAAATCCACGAACAAACTCTGGCCTCTTTTCACTCCAGTCAAGACTTATTCCTATAAGGCAAATTTAACATACAATGATTAATAGCAATGACTTACTCTGTCATCAACTCTCATGTAAAAAGTTACTGTTTTTCTTTTTAAGTATCTTTCTTCATAGCCATATAAATGCAAATTAAGCCCAATGAGAAACCACAGCAGAACAAAAAATGTAATGACCAAGGAGAACACCAATAGGAGTTTGGTAGATAGGTAATAGGAAAAGTTCTAATCCCTTCAGAACAGATAACATCACGTTACTCTGCTACTCCCTTGGAAACTACAAATCTTAACAGTAGGAGCCAGGCTTCACAGTGCCAATAATCAAACTGACGGTACCACAACTGTCTCCTTTAGGAACCACCATACCCAACTTTATTCCTGGCTTATTAAAAACAAAAGTAGATGCTTAGCTACAACTGTAAAATCAGGTGTGTACTATATATTAAAAAATTAATTTATGTATATATTTTAGAAAACAGGAGCCTTTCAGCATACTTTTAATTTTGAATAATATAACATAGCTCATAAAAGGGAAAAACAGGTCAGCAAGATAGCTCAGGGGACTAAAGCTCCTGCTTAGTCAAGCTCAGACAAGCACAAGGACTGCAGTTCAATCCTCAGCACCACATGCTACACCAGCCCTGTCCCCAGGACAGGCTGGGCTGGCCAGTCAGGGCATAGCGGTGCATGCCTGTAATCCCAGCACTGGGCAGGCTGAAAGCAGGAGGATCACTATGGGTCTGAGCTGCATAGTAAGACCCTACAACAACCAAATACATTTTTAAAAAGAGGAGAAGAAAATAAAATAAAATAAATAAAAAGGGAGAAAAACATTCTTACATATATTGTGTCTAATGTCTCTCTCTCTTGATACATATTATATATCAAGAATCTCTTCTGAGGATGGCTTAGAAGGTAATTCACTTACTGGATTTCTTAGAAGCAGACATGTGATCCATTTCTCCTACCTATCACCTAAAACTGTAACCAGAAAACTAGAAACAAAACCATGCAAAACAATTTCAAACCTCTTCCTAAATTGTTATTTTACTCCTTAATGTTCAGCACTTAAAAGAAACTCTTGGTAATACTATGTGGTCAATAACATCTCACACACAAAAAAAAAAACCCCATCAGGCTAGAAAACTCAAACATCTAAACCAAACTGAAGAAAAGTCCTAGGATTTGAGCTTATTACCACAGGATAAAAGTCCTTCTTGATAGCCCACGGTGTAGGAGAAATCAACGAACTCCCTTGGGGAAATTATATCCCAAAGCTGACCGGCAGTAGTGTAACGCATCACACAGCAATTCTGGAAAAGAGTAAAGTAAGATAGGCGTGACTATTATAGGAATCACACACCTAGACTTATATATCGGAAATTAATCTTTAGTAAAAACTAATACTTAAAATATTTTATTTTTATAATAATTCTTACAGTGATTCCCCCAGAATAGATAGATACCTATTCTAAATCTCACTGCTCTTGTATGGATATGAAGGAGATAGATAATCAAAATATACAGAGGACAAGTTGCTCGGTATCCCCATCTTTGCTTATTCCAAATTAATATTGAATTTCACTAATGTAAAATATTATCCTACATAATATGAATTCCATGGCACTAGGATGTAGACTAAAATATTTTAGACTGTTGAAGATAAAAATCCACAAGAACTCTGATGGGTTTTAGAATTTTCAGTTTCTAGAATCTTAAAGTTAAGTATTAACTTTTAAGTATTAACAATTAAAATTATGGAGATTTTCTTGTACAGCTATAGTAGAGCCATTGTGGAAGACAACATCAGAGGAAATTCTAGCTTTTATGAGGCAGCGCATGATTCCCTTGTGGTATCTTGACTATGACTACTATTCGCAAAAGAATGAATGTGAGTGTATATAAATGCTCATGTTCCCATCCATGCATCTGTGCTCTTACACACACACACACACACACACACACACACACACACACACACAGACCTGAACTAATGATTCGAAACAAATACCTCTTCAAAGTGCTTCAAAATATCCAATGAAGTCATGAGGCGGTCCCAATCCAAGCGGAAAGGCCCTGGGCGTATATGGTCTATTATGGTATTGACTACATCATCTACAACACCTTGGGCTTTGTAGCTGAGGAAAAACCAAATAAATGCTATCGGAATGAAAAATTTCCACATGACTTCATAGTTCAGAACCATAAAAATTAACGAAAACGCACTTTGTTCTCCAATCTAATCAGAGAACCGCAGGCTAGCGTATGTGTTGCCATGGGCATAGCAAAGTCCTTTCCTGCCATAAGGTGTGATCAAAGATACAGTAATGATATTTTTTCTTAGAACATTTTGCCATCAGCTGTGCTTAAAATACCTCGTCCCTTTGCAAACACACCTATCTCACCGTTCTTGCTGCTTTGTGGAACAGCTCTGGACATTCCCTTTCATGTTGCTGCTTTCCAGGCTGCCTTCGGTCCTGAACTGATTGAAAACACTTACAATGGCGGCCATTTTCACTATGGGGAAAAGCCAGAAGTCCCACTGTGCCAGATCCAGTGGACAGGGAACGTGAGGATGCCTCAGAATGTCTCTACAGGTCTGCCTTTGCATTGGATGGCATTCAGTAGTGGCAGTCAGCACATTTTTAATATACCTTGTAAAAACACTCACAAAATAGGATTTCCAGAAATGTTAAAGAAAGTGGTAAAAACAATGGGAGATGTGTGTCCAAAGTGAGGGACAAATATTTTGAGGGGGATTAATGGCAATGCACTGGTAATTTTTTAAACCTTCACTGCATGTTTTGATCATCCCTATAGGCAAAAGCAGTCTATAAAATACTATGATACATCCACTTACTATGCATATTGTTCTCTTCAGTTATCTTCAAAAATATTAGTATATCTAGATCTATTTTTTAACCTGACTTTTAAAACTTTTTACTATGTATAGAAAAATAGGACAATAGAGCAGAACCCGGAGGAACCAGCTCCTGAATATATTAGAATTTGGCATATTTCAAAAATGCCATACGATCAGTAGAAGAAAATGTAGTGTTCTATAAACTATGCTCAGATTCAATAGTTATCACTGAGAAAATAAAACCTGCATCCTCACTTCACACAATGGAAACCAATTCCGGACAGCTATATAGCTCTGTGTAAAACAGAAAACTTTCAAATTGTGAGAAAATATGCACAAAACTATGTTTTTGTAACATCTGAATACGGGAGGATTTCTTAAATATACAAAAATACAAATAAGATAAAAGAGGTACAATTTAAAATGTGCATATTATACATGAAATAATTTTTAAAAACTCTGAGACTAGGAAAAGATATGTGAACTACATAAACACAATTATTATTATAAAGGACACAGGAATAATTCCTATACGCCAATGAGAAAAAGACAATCCAAAGAAAAGTTGGGCTAAAGATACTTTAAGATTGATCTCAACTGTGAATAAATATACAAAAGCTGCACACTTCACTAGTGATCATATACGTGCCAACAGGGTTCCGTCCCATTCATACCTCTTAGATGGCCAAGATTCAACACCTGATAATAAGTATTGAATGGGGGAGGATGAGAACTCCTAAGCTACTTGCTAATTTACACAGCACTCTGGCAATGTGTAATAAAGTCTGATGATACTCATCCCAAAGACCAAAAGAAAGACAAACAAAAACCCCACATGTGCATAGGAAGCATGGATTTAGCAAGTTACAATTACAAATATAGAAGTATTCTATATAAATATGGCAAAATTTAAAAATCTATCAATAAATAAACAAAAACACATTGTGGCATATTCACACAAAAATAAAAGAACAGTCGATAGATGATAACATAGGTAATCTAAAGGAAAAAATGTTCTTGGAAAGAACTGTAACAGGCAAATTACTAAGTTTGAGACACAAATTTTTAAAAATGCCTATCAGGTAATGCATTTTATTTTTTATGAACATGTAAATATATGGTCAAAGTATAAAACTGGAACAATACACACAACTTTATGATGGAAATTACCTTGGAAAAAGAAGGGACACAGAATATGAAATAGGTTGGTTTCAACTCTTATAAGTAACTTTTTATTTATTTATTTTTTTTGTGGTACTGGAGATTGAACTCAGGACCCTGCACTTGCCAGGCAGGCACTTATTCTACCAAGCTATCTCCAAGCTATCTCCCCAGCCCTCTATCAGTAACTTTTTTTTTTAATTATTCCAAATTCTACCATCTTTTTTAAATATTTATTTATTTATTTATTTATGTGTGTGTGGCCAGCTCAGCCCACCAGGGAGCAGGGCTGGCTGGCATGTGGTGCTGGGGGATTGAACCGCGGTCCCAGTGCTTTGCTAAGCTTATTCTAAGTAGGTGCTTTAGACCACTGAGCCATCTCACCAGCCCCACTATCAGTAACTTTTTAAAAAAGCATATGAAGCTGTTTAATCATCTTAGAAATGTCTCCAGCCAAACTTGGCAACCCCATCTTAACTCTGTTCTTCTCTCCTATGCTCTCTAAATTATCGTGGGGTAGAGAAAGTAATTCAAAATAATCCAGTCAGACAGTCAGAAATCAAAACTCAACTTGGACCCTTTTTTTATTCAAGAACTGCTTAGCACGTCATCTGTCTCTCAGGGCACGTTAGTTATCGTTTCCATCAGCACCACCAGCATTAAGTTTCTCTCACGTTCACGTGCCCTTCTCAGTTCCCTGCCATTGCCTTAGTTGGGTGCTCTGTCCAATTCTGTACTTCATTAGTTTCTACCTCTTGATCACACAGCCTTTCAGGAATTTTTTAAAACTCATATATCTCTTTCTAGAAAAACACATAGTTACAAAAGTTTGTATCCATCTGAGAGGAAATCCAAGAAGTTAGCCATAGACCACAGGATAAAAATTCCTTCTTGAGCTCTTCATACTCATTTCCATCTTTCACAGTGTTAGTAAATTCTACATGCTTTGAGGACCTGGAGTGTGACAGCAAGGCAAGTCATGCTGAATTCCTGCGTTAGGATGCAATGACCCTATGCACCCTACTTCCTCCTCCCACATGCTTTCCACTCCAGCTACACACACACAGTTCTGCAAGTGTTTGTAAACTGTGCTTCTGCAGTCCACACAGTGCCTTCCACCCCTTCTCTTCTGAAGAACAGCTATTCCTCTTTCAAGTCTCAACTTCAGATACTTGCCTTTCTATGATGTCTTTCCAAATCTTCAAGTATAGTGTTCCCTTGGCACTCAGTACGTTCAACTCCTCTGGGAACCACTGAACTAAAGAATGAATTTCCACTTGTTTACAATGCCTAATGCAACGCTAGCTTCTTTATCCTTGTCATAAACATGTACAATTCATCTAATGAAAGTGTTATCTTTGGTATTACATATTTGAACATTCTGTATATACTAAGTGAGGCCAGTGGTTTCACTTTTAAAAGGAATCAGCTTTAGGGATGTGTATATTATATTTCAATTATGCAAAGTCCCACTGGCCTTTAAAAAAAA